GGGTTCTTTAGAACCCGTCAAGGAAACTGGAGGTGTAGCTCAGCTGGTAGCTTGCCGAGCCTGCCCCAAAACCCAGCAGGCAGGAAGATCAGGAATTCAAAGTTATCCTTGGCTGCATGGGGAGTTTGTGGCCAACATAGGACACATTAACCCCCAACCCCCGGTTCAAAATTTTAAAGGGGGCGGGCGTGGTGGTGCATACCTTGATCTCGGCACTCAGGAAGCAGAGCTGGGCAGATCCCTGTGAATCCGATCCAGCTTGGCCTACATAGCATGTTACAGACCAGCCAGTTCTACATCGTGAGATCTTGTCTCAAAAAACACCCCCAAAAAACATACCAAAACGGCTTAGAATGGAGGCTTGGCCACCAGAGCCATCTATAAGGTGTAGTGCTTGGAATCTGAGAGGATTGAAGATCTGGTCCCTAGCATATCAGAGTCCATACCAAAGCTCATAGAGGGACACCAGGTTGCTAAGAATAAGCATTCCTGGAGAGGAAACCAAACAGGGCAGGAGATGAGGTTGCTGTTTTGAAAAGACGCCACTTTTTATATGCTGCTCTACAAAGTTTGGAAAGCAGGGGGCTGGCGACCAGTAAGCCTTAATGCAGGAGAGCAAACCCGCACCTGTTAGAGGGAGGAACCGGATGTTTGATTCAGCTCCCTGTTTGATAAAACGGGAAACTGAGGCCATGACTTAAAGATTGGCCTTGGAGAGAAAAATTCACCTTTCTCTCAGACCCCTTGTAACTCAGGTCCAGTTAGTAGATAGGAGATCTAAGTGATTTAACTTGCTTCTTTGCCTGGTTAGAGCCCATAAAATGTGGACAACTGGAATTTTTGCTGGAGACCTGTTTTCCCAAGAGACACTTGATTTTTTTTTTCTTTTCTTTTTTTTTTTTTTTTTTTTTTTACATCTCCTGGTTCTTGGGGGATAGTTCTCCTCCACAGAGAGCAAACTGGACCCAAATCCCTTGGCCACCAGGCTTCTATATGGAATTTCCACCCCAGTGTCATACAGATTCCCTTGGCCCTTCAAGGGGATTAAGAACAACACACCAGAAATTACCTACCTGCTTTCATAGGGCAGAGAAGAAGGAGCCTCTGGTGCCTTCGCTCCTTCTGTTTTTTCACAGGATATCTGAGCAGCCATGTTTTCCAGAGTGCACAGCACCCCAGGGGCAAGCTTATCCCCCACTTACCCCTACCCACGGACAACATCTGGGCATCTGCACCACATCACAGAACATGCAACACATCTCTGCCAAGGAGAGACCTAGTAGCCCCTAGCTGTGTAGACCTGAGAGATTTGCACAAGGGGAGCTTTGGCAGGAGCTGCAGCAGCAGCAACTAGCATGCATTTGGAAAAGAAAGTGGCTATAGCTCCCTCTAGTGTACTGTTGTCAGAAATCCAAAGTGGAGAAGGATGGAAGAAGGGACCTGCCCCAGCAGACACTGGAGCTGCTGGGCATTGGTGCAAGTAATGCATTTGGTCTTCAGAGGAAGTTGCTTCCATCACACCCAACACAGAACGCCTCGGTGACAGAGGCTGTTCTCACGATCAGGTGGCAGGCTCACCAGAGTTCCGGGGGTGCTGATCCCCTACCCAGGAGCCATTGTCACTCTGTTGTGAACAATCCAGAGGCAGTACCCAGTACAATCCAAGGCTAGCTTCCTTCCATTTGCCAGGAAGCTTAGAGAGCAGCTTCCATCCCTGTGGTGCTCTGCAGTGCTGGTGTCCATGATGGTGACTAGGCGAAGTCACAGTTTATTGCATGTCAACAAAGCAAGCCAACAGGGCTCCCCGCAGGTGCAGGGAGCGTGGCTGCAAGTAGGTTCACCAACTTTGCCACACGCTGCCTCATAGTGACCAATCATGGTCTTTTTACCTGGTGTCACCCATTCTGCCCCACTTAACCAGGTGGATTTTGTACTCTGAGGTCAAGCTGAAAGAGAGGGGTCCTCTTCTGTGGTTGGACAGGAAAAGGCACCAGGCTAAAGGTGCCACCCGGGCTGTTGACTGTTAGGAAGGTGGGACTGAGGGACTCATACTAGGAGGAAAAGAACTTCCGTAGGGTCCACCCCATTGCAAGGAGAGTAAAGACGATGGCTGGCACTTACATGGACTTACAGCCAGTGTGTCAGCACTCTATGTAGCTGAATCCATTTAATCATCACAAAAGCTTCATGTCATCAGTAATCTATAAAGCTGTCCTTCTTACCTGGGTACCGGGCTCATCTGAATGCGGACCCGAGTCATCGGGTTATTTTAACTGCCTGCTGCTCAATGTAGAAGCTATAACAAGAGCTGAAACAATGTGGGTCCCCCCAGGCAAGAGATGGCTCCCGTTTCCCATCATGCTCTTGTACCTGGAAACGAATTCATCTTGGTGGTCTGTGAATGGACTCCCAAACTTCAAAACTTCAAATCGAGAAGAGACACCGGGGGAGGGTAGGGCGTCACAGGTCAGGTTGCTCATTTTCCAGGTGGGCTCATGGCAGATTGAGGATATGAGGAGGCTTGGCACATGTCACACAGAGTTGCTGCCAGGTCTTCAGACTCGCAGCCTAAAGCTCTTTCTCCTCCCCCAGACTGTATAGCTACCACGAACTTGAACAGACGAACAAAACTGAGGGGTCTTGTCACATCCCAGGGAGCTCTCTGGTCACCCAAGCATGTCCTGTTTCATCACTTATCTTTCAACTGACCCTGGAATCAGATAAAATTCAACCCTGGAATGGTCTATGACCCATGCTGCTCTGTACCCACAGTGCTTTGGGATTCTGATTACTTTTTCATTAGGTGTGTTCCACCACTTGGCTGAGAAGCAGGCTCACCCCCGACTCTAGGCCTGATAGAAGAGAGAGAAACGTGAAGAGAAGCATGAAGGAGTGGGAGGGAAGCTGTGTGGGGGAGGAGAGTGAGAGACAGGGATGAGTCATGGGAACTCAGATGTCTCCCATCCCAGGCCCAGGGTCAGGACGACAGATGGATGTGGTGACAACAGCTGCCCCCTCCCACTGGCTTTCTGGAGAAAGAGAGGTGGAGCTGTAAAAGGCTCAAACTCTGAAGCACCTGCTCTGAACAGTGAGGAGGAAACAGTAGCTACTCTGCTGGTAGACAGTCAGTCAGAGCCCCTCCTCTGTGACTGAGTGTCTGTCTTCAGTGGCAGCCCAGATTGGTCCAGACAGTGGCGCCCACGAGCTGACTTGACTGCCTTTCTTCCCTGCATCACTTCAGATTCACAGCCTTAGAGTCATCCTCGCTGTCCATCCTCTCACATCCCACAACTGACCTCTCCTGTTTGGCACTGCTTTCCCTAAGGACGGGATCTGTCCATGTCTCACTGGCTCCACAGCACAGCCCAGTCCAAAGCATCCACTCTCTAAGACTATTCAGGCTCACCAATGGTGAACCTGATAAAATTAAAAAATGTGATCAATCACCTCTCAAAACCCTGAAGGGCTAGCTTCCCCCTGTCTCAGAGCACAAAAGAAATCCTCCAAGTCCCTGACTGACCTCGCCCACCCTCCAGCTAAAGCTTTCTCCAAATCATCTCCTACTCTGCTCATGGCTGGCAGGCCCACAGACCCTTGACCTCCTCCCTCTGCCTGCAACACAGCAGCCATGTTCCTACCTTTGCATGGTCACTGAGTGGACTATTTTCTCCTGTTATCTATGTTGCTCACCCAGTGACCTCCTGTACTTTATTCAAGTGCCACATCCTTGCTCAGGCTTTTCCCACCCCCCTTTTCTCATTGTTCCCATTTTGCAGATAAACCTACCTGCTGTACAAACACCTAATTGTTTATTGTATTAAGTGCCTATCTTTCCTGTGCAGAACCCAATCCTATCGCTTTTATTCATTAGTGAATCTCTGATGACCAGGAAAAAAAAAACCAACATATAGCAGGTGTGTGTGTGTGTGGGGGGGGGTAACACTAGGGAATAAACAAAAAATTAGATGTTAGACACAGCTGGAGAAATAAACCCTTAAAAAGATATTGGCCACAGGATTTAGTACAAAGAGAAGTGGAGAAAAGGATGTGTGTGCCTCTTTGTGCGTGTGTTGGAAATGTTTGACAGCCACCTTCACTTGAAATCAACAGTCTGTGAGCACTTGATCATTTGAATATAAGTGCTTTGACGGAATCTACCAGCCAGAGCCTACGCTTATCCATTCATTCTCTCCGTCACTGATTCGGCTGACATCCATGAATGGTCTTTCCACACTGGGTGTTCTCCTGAACACCAGGTAGGCTGTGGTTGAGAATATGGTCTCTAGAGTAGGAAAACCAGCCTGGCAATGAGAACAGATCTGGGAGGATTTTAGCGTTAAGAAAGACTACCACACACCCTGTCTCCCACAGGAGACTTGATTAGGATGCAAATTTAGACCAACAGGAACAAATGCTTGAATGAGTGACTACTGGTGTAGATGTCCTTCTCCTCTCCAGAGACCCCAGAAGAGTTTAGGAGTGATTGCTGGAGGACTTTCAGAAGTAACATAGCTGTTCTCATGAGGACAAGAAGGCAGCTATAGGCTCCAAAGAGAGCAATGGGTGTCACTAGCTCAGCATGGTGGAACCCACATACTGTCAGAGGCTGAGATAGAAAAATCAAAATCAGGATCATCTTTGTCTATACAGCGAGCTGGAAGACAGCCTGGGTCATGTGAGAAGGCCTGCTTCAGATAAGGAAGGTAGAGATAGCTCTCACTACCCAGGGAGGCCTGTGTTTAGGAGCTCTGGGAAGCCACTTGAAAGAGTTCTGACCTTGCCATATGCCCTGTGCCGTAGACTCAAGAGGCTAGCCAATGGGCTCTACTTCTGGTCTCCTTGGGAAACATCCCCTCCCTGAGGCAATCTGCAGAAGCTGAAGGAGCGGCTTCCCTTGTGGCCCACGGGTGGCCAGCACCTAGGCTGATGAACATTCGGAAGCTGGCATCTCAATAGCTGCCTGCTTCTATCAGGGTCATGTTGGGCTTAGCTGCTGGGCTTGTTACACAGCATAAGGCCTGGTTTCTGAGACTGTCATTTATTTATGAGTTACTCTTCCACAGCCAGCTCGTGCCCGGGTGGCTCTGCGGCACAGTCACGAATCCTTGTGATCCCACATCATCCCAATACCTCTTCTCTTTTGATCACACCATCAGCTCTCACTCTCCTCCTATGGCCCTACCCCAACATTCACAATTCCATCTTTCACTGCAAGGAACTCCCCCGTCTCAGCCTTTTCTGTCTCAGTTGCTGCTTGTGGAAAGCAACCAGGGGCTGTCAGGCTGAGTCATTGAGTGGGGAGTGGGGGGGAAGGGGGTCTCATCCTCCGGAACAGTTGAAGATCAGGTAGTCTTCGTCCAGCCGCTCTCAGAAAGGAATGCATAGGTATTCCGGAGTGGTCCACATGCAGGACGACCCTGCAAGGGAGGAAGGAGAACAAGGGAAGTTCAGTTAAGGGCATAAGGACATAAACATGGGAGGTGTCATCCTGCAAATCAGAAATCAGCTTCTTGGGGTTGGTGAGATGGTTCAGCCATTAAGAGCATTGGCTGCTCTTCCAGAGGACCTGGGTTCACTTCCCAGCACCCACATGGAGGCTCACAAATGTCTGTAAGTCAAGTTCCAGACGATCCAACACCCTCACACAGACATATATAAAAGCAAAACACCAAAGCACATTAAATAAACAAACAAACAAACAAATAAATAATCTTTAAAAGTTGGCTTCTTTCCTCATCCCTGGTTCTCATCTGGTACCGCTATTCTCCACCTCTATTCTCCAGTTTGTCCACACTGTCTCCTGTCATGCACTTCAACCACAGAGCTGTCCAATTATAGCTGAACCCAGGCAACCTCAAGCCATTTCCTCACACCTGACTGAAGCCTGTAATAGGAGATAAGCATTTCTGAACCAGGTGTCTTAAGTGCCTAGACACAGCTTCCTCAAGATGGAGACTAAGTTAACCATCATGAACTCAGTCCCGTGCTTCCCTCATAACCTTCCACATCAGCAGATTCAGCATAATTTCTACATAAATCTCCCTACCAAGATACATTGAAACCATTTGACCCAGAGCTAAAAACGACAGATTAAAAAGCATTCACCATACAAGGCGGGCAACCTGAGTTTGGTCCCTGAAATCCATGGAGGAAGGGAAAGAACTGACTCATTTAAGTTGTCCTCTGCCCTTAGCATACATCTGTGCTCTATCTGTCTCTATGTCTCTTTGTCTCTGTCTGTCTCTCTCGCTCGTGCTCTCTCTCTCTCTCTCTCATACACACACATAGAAAAACACACACCGCAAATACTTTTTTAATTTTTAAAAAACTATTCCAAGACATAACAGATACTTTGCCTATGAGAGAAAAAAAAAAGAAACAAGTTTCTTTGAAATAAGAACCAAAACATAAAACAACAAACCCTAGAAAATGAAGGAGGTGATTTTCCACCTTAAATAGTATCAGTCCAAGTAGAGATTAGCCAAGCCTCAGAGAGCTGAAGCAGAGACCATATTCAACAGGAGTGTATGGGCCCAAGGAAGTCAAATTGAAGGCCAGTTCAGCCTAGTGTGTCTAAACACAGTAGGAGGTTGACACTGCTGTCATGAAGTTTATTGAACTCCAGTCTCCTCTCAGAGACCAAACAGTGGCAAGTATACAGAAGACACGCAGGTTATACAGAAGAAGATGCTTGGTGGCTCCAGAAGAAAGTAAGTCATGTGAGAAATAAAATATAATTATACCCCGGCCTTCTAGCGGGGCCTCCATGAGGAACACTATTTACACAGTCACAGTAAAGAAGAACTGAATGTGAAGATAGCTTGTGTGTACTGAGCGAGGGTGGGTGGTATCTTCCATAGTAGGAAGTGAATTTTTCTAAGACTTAGAGAGCAAAACCTCGAAAGCAGTATAAGTGAATTCCAGGGAGTACAGGGGGTCCAGACAGAACAGCTAAAGTAAAGGAGGGAGTTTTTCTAAGAGCGTAATGGGGGAGTGTGAGGGCGATGGTGGTTATTGCAGGGTATGAGGCCTCCAAGGGTAACTGGTCTTTTTAAACTCGAACTATTTTAATTTCCTTTTAGAACACCAGTTCTCAACCTGTGGGTCACAACCCCCTTGGACGCCGAACAACCCTTTACAGAGGTCCCATGTCTGATATCCTGCTGCATAGGAGATACTCACGTTAGGATTCATAACAGCAACGAAAATCACAGTTACAAAGTAGCAATGAAATAATGTTATGGTTGGGTCATCACAGCATGAGGAATTGTATTAAAGGGCAGCACGGCACTAGGAAGATTGAGAACTACTATTTTAGAGGAAAAGAAAAAATTATATGAAAATTTCTCAAACTCCTAAGACACAGTCTCAAGTTAAAAAACAAAAAACAAAAAAACAAACAAACAAAAAAAACTTACAGGATTGCCAAATTTATCACACACCAAAATTGTTTTAAAAGAAAGAAAAAAGAAAGGAAGGAAGGGAGGGAGGGAGGGAGGGAGGGAGGGAGGGAGGAAGAAAGAAAGAAAAAGAAAGAAAAAGAAGGGAGGAAAGAACAACCAGGGAAATGTGAGTTTTGGAAGAACAGATCTATGTCTTTCAGGATCATCGTGTCCAAAACTTTGCAGACATTACTCACAGCTTATCTGAAGTTCAGATTTAATGAGCATCCTCCACTTTTATCCAGCAAGCCCCTGTCCAGCACATCCACACCAAGGCACGGAGCCAAGACTGCAGAGCCAGGACAAGGTGATCCTGAGTCTTACATGAAGCAGCAAGTTCACAGGGAAGGAAATCAGAAAATGCCTCAGCTTTTCTCACGGCAAGACTGGGAGTTAGGAAACAGGAGCATGGTGTCCGCAAAATTCTAAGGACGTGACATCCGACCTGGAGTTTCCTATCCATCCAGTCTCAGACAAAGCTTGAGAACGGAATGAAGGCATCAGGCTTGCCAAGTTTAAAACTGCACTTTCGTTCATCAGTTCTTAGGTGAGTGCAAGGCCTGCCCCACCCAACGAAAAGCAAACCTAGACTAAAACAGAGTCCAGGAAAACAGAAGGCCAATGAAGAGAAAAAGAAAATGAATTCTCAGGACAACAGTCGTGCCAAGGCAGAGAGAGCAGGCATGTCAGAAGGGGAGAGGGGAAGGTTCCAGAATGGAAGAGCTGGGTGATAGGAGACCAATAAAGAGCCTGCATGGAAAATGATATAGAGGGGTTTTCCAACTGTGTCAGAGAGCCTGGGAAGAACTATAAATATGAACACAGATAATTAATCAGGTGAAGAAAATGGGGCAATTATTAACAAAGCGTTTGCAAGAGATTAAACGACCATTATCATAATGCGCTGCTTGGCAATGCAGAAAATAATACTTGATAGTGATAATGACATAAACAGCAATGTAAACAAAACATTAAAGGAGGGCAGAAAAGATGTGCCAGGCATGTGGCTGCATCTACAAAGACAAGAGTTGATGTTCTGTGGCTCAGAGGCCATAGGCTAACTCACAAGGCCCTCCGCGTTCTCACCCCGCTCTTCCACCCTGACTTTACCCCCTTTTGGTCCCCCACCTCACTCACCTTACTCTACAGAGGAGTCCCCTGGCTGCTCTCATCCTCACCATGGCCTCCTGCCTCCGGGCTTCTGCCCTGCTGTGTGTGCCCTCTGCACGGAGCAGCCTCATGATGTATCCACGGGGCTCACCGCCCCAATCCACCAGGTCTTCACTGAGACACCATCTGCTAAGCCCTCTAATGAGCCCTCCAACCCACTCCAGCACATCTAGTCACATCAGGACTGAGATCATCCTCATCCACTGAGGCCAGGCAAGGCAGAAGACCAACAGAGTCGACTAAGCTATGTTCATGGAAGCTTGCAGAGGGGGAAGCACCAACCAAAGTACATGCATGGCCTGGACCTCGGTCCCCTATGCATTTGTAACCGCTGGGCAGTTTGATCTTCATGTAGGTCCCCTAGTAAGCTGAGTGGGTGCTGTCTACTCAGGGACTCTGTTGCCTGCTTTTGATCACCAGGCCATCTTAATCTTCTCATCTGAATCAGGTGGTGTGTCCACACAAGGATCTGGCAATGGCTTTTCTAGGAGCATGGACTCGCTCCTCATCCTGTTTTGGTATTGCTGTATCTAGGCTATGGCCTTTCTCACGGTAAAAGAGCCATGAAGAAACCTAGCTGCAGCAGATGCTATTTGGTTTAGTTGTCCATTTGGGGAAAGGGAATCATTACTTTGGCCAGCCAATGTCCCTTTGCCATTTCTTTTTGCAACAGAGCACAAACTTCTTCTAGAGAGGTCACCTTTACACTTCATCTCAGCCTGAGTTCCTTGGGCCACACGAGCCACAATCTTCCCTCTGAGGTGTGTGTAGGAACTGGATACAGCCAGCTAAGCATGCCATTCCCTTGGTCTCATCATTTGTCCAGGTGGAGGCAGACTATTGAAGACCATACTAGGTAGAGGCTTTTTTACACTGGGTAAGCACATGGGTGAACAGAACTCAACAGAGTCCATAAAAACAGCCCCCAAAGCTGGGTGTGGTGCCCACACCTATACTTCCATCTCTCAAGAGGCTGAGGCAGAATTATTACTGTGAGTTGAAAATCAGCTTGAGATACATAGTAAGTTCCAGGCAGGAGTTCATAGAGGGGGTTAGGGAAGGAAGAAGGAAGGATATAGAGAAAGAAAGAGAGAAATGGGTGCATATAAGTATGGACAAGGGATTTTCAAGAGTTTAAAAAAAAAACAGTTGAATGGTGGAGGGTGGGTCAGGTGGTGGCAGCAGAATGGATCAATTGTGTAACCATTGCATTAAAAATGGGTTTTCTCTTAAACTTCTTATCTTACAGAAAGGCAAGTTCAAGTAGAGCATAAATGTCAATCACAACATCTAAAACCAGGAAAGTCATAAATGCAAGAGAAAAGCCTGAGGAGCCGAAGCTGAATGAAGAGTTCCTGAAGATCACATCAAAAGTACAGACTGAGTGCAGTGGCACAAGCCTTTAATACCAGTACTCAGAAGGCATAAGGAGTCAGATGTTTGCATGTTCGAAGCCAGACTGGTCTTCCAACTGTGTGTTCCATTCCAACTGGTGCTACATAGTAAGACCCTGCCTCAAAATAAGTAGATAAGATGAGATCAATACATGAATCATTTTAAAAATGGTTTTAAAAATAATCGCAATCCCTCAAGAGCGTGTCGATAAATTTGACTTCATCAAAATTTAAAATTATCCAGCTAATCCTCTCCGGGACTGGAAAACAAAAGCCGCCGGCTGTAAGAAAATATTTGCAAACCACATGACTGATAGAATATTCATTTCCAGAATATCTAGGACTATAAAAACTCTGGTAGTTTAAACAAACATATTTAACTAAGAATTGAGGAAAAGACCATATGACTGG